CACACACACACACACACACACACACACACACACACACACACACACACACACACACACACACATATATATATATATATATATATATATATATATGTATATATATATATATATATATATATATATATATATATATATATATATATATATATATATATATATATATATATATACATATACACACACACACACGCAAAGAGAGAGAAATAGAGAGAGAAACAGATAGATAGTTAGATAAATAGATAGACATACAGTCAAGTATATAGGTAAGGACATACATATATGCATACATAGTGTATGCATATTTATATACACATATAGTACATACATATATATAAGCATATATGCACACATATACATAAATACCTAGATACGTAGACATAGTGTATACTCTTATACAGATACAGAAAGTCGAAACCTACGTGTGTGCTTGCGTGAGGGTGTGTAGGGAAGCGTATTACTTGCATTCATATACGGGCTCGAATTGGAACATTTACATTGGAACATTTACAACATTGAACTGGAATCGATTGGTCTCAGGAGAAGTGTTGGTCCCTCGCCAGCCCACGGTGTCACGCGTCATTTTTGGCTACAGATGGGCGAGAGTCCATAAGGAGGGAAAATGAAGAGTGAGGGAGAGGGAAAAAAAAAATTGTTTGCACCATCAGGCAGGCGACAAAGTTGATTCATTGCCCTGGTGGGTGAAGTATGAAGTGGAATAATCAAAAGACGGGAAAAGTATTGGTAAAATGCCAAATGAGATAAGAGGAAAACATAAAACATGAAAAATAAAAACATAAAGCAATACAATACAAAATGTCCAAAAATAATAGCGAAAATTTGGAATTTAAAGAAACGAAACGAAGAAATATATATAGTTTTACAAAAGAGCTAATAAATCTTTAGCTGGAAAAGACAGTTTGCATGCTTATTGTAATATTCATAAAAAAAAAAAGAAATCGTTTCATAATATAAAGAAAAGAGAAATGAAAAATAACGAAAAAAATAGAGATACAGGAAAAAATGGAGAGGAAAAAATCAAAGCAAAAAAATCCGTGGTCGGTGCTATTGGCCTGTCGGTTTCTGGCTGTAATCAGGAGACGAAACCTGACAAGTGATTCGAAGATCCCACCTCTAATGCGACAGCCTGCTTTGCCCGCCCCTCCCCGCTCTCCGTCTCAGCCGCCCATCCATAACCCCCTTCGCACGCCCTCAAATCCGTCTTTCTTCCCTGCCTTCCCCTTCTCGGCCTCGTCGCCCGTTCGTTTCTTCCTTTCTTTTTTTCAATATATATATATATATATATATATATATATATATATATATATATATATATATATATATATATATATATATATATATATATATATGTATATACATATATATATATATATATATATATATATATATATATATATATATATATATATATATATATATATATATATGCATATATATATATTTAAATGTGTGTGTGTATGTGTATGCATATATTTGCATAAATAAATAAATAAACAAATATATATATATATATGTATATATATATATATATATATATATATATATATATATATATATATATATATATGTATGTATATGTATGTATTCATTTGTACACACACACACACACACACACACATACACATATATATATGTGTGTGTGTGTGTGTGTGTATGCGTATGTGTGTGCGCGTGTATGTATGTGTGTATGTATGTATGTACATTAGCTCCTAGCTCATAGGTTTTGTGTCCCATCTCCTCCATTTCACCATAATCTTACATCAGGATTCCCCTCTCCTTCCCCCTTATCTCTTCCTTCATCGACCCTCTCTCTCTCTTGTTAAGCCAACGGATCCATTTCCCTTTCATACATTCGAGTCGCCTACTATCCTTTTTCGTTTGTTTCGAAAATTTTGTAAATTTCTTCCATTCTTTCTTCTTTGCGATTTTTAAAAAGAAAACTACCCTTCTGTTGCTTTTCTTTCTTTCCATGTTTTACATTATTATTATTTTCCTATAATGCATTACCTCGCTTCACTTCCTCTGTAGGAAATTTACCTTTTCTCCTGAAGCTCCTCTTCCTCATAAACGTTATCTTTTTCCACGAGTTTTAACTTAGTCATGAACTTGACTCTCTCGTGACTCTTGCATTTCTCAAAAACTGTAATTTTCTCATGATGCATGACCTTAAATTCCTCATGACCCTTTCCTTTCTCATGAACCTTACTTGCCGCAAAAAAAAAACATCTTCATGAACCTCACCTTCTTTATAAAACTTTACCTCTTCATGATCTTTCCTTTGCTAATGAACTTACAATCTGCATGAACCTCATGAACCTGATATTCCCAATGTATCTTAGCTTCCCTGTGACCCTTACCTTTCTTTTGAATCTTACCTTACTAATCAACCCTAATGTCCTCATGAACCTTGAACTCAACAGGAAGCTTATTTTCCTCATGTAATCCTTACCTGTCGCATGAAACTAAAGAACCGTTCCTTTGC